GTGTCAAATTTTAGATTGTAAACTCCTGCTGGTAGGGACCTGTACAGTACATTCACACATTCTCTTTAGCAGTGTTTCTCAACTGGGGGTAATATGGCCCCCTGCCCCCCCCCACATATTCCAAGGTGGCTGCAGTTGAAATCATACTTATAATATGATTATAAAAAATATAAATAAAACATGTTCCTGTTTACAAACAAAATAGCTACCTTTCTACCGGTAGGACAGGGGGGGTACAGGAAGGAAACAAGGTTGTTTGGGTGCCATGGTTGGAAAAAGGTTGAGAAACACTGTTCTAAAGCAGGGGTAGGCAAACTAAGGCCCGGGGGCCGGATGCGGACCAATCGCCTTCTCAATCCGGCCTGCGGACGGTTCGGGAATCAGCGTGTTTTTACATGAGTAGAATGTGTGCTTTTATTTAAAATGCATCTCTGGGTTATTTGTGGGGCCTGCCTGGTGTTTTTAAATGAGTAGAATGTGTGCTTTTATTTAAAATGCATTTCTGGGTTATTTGTGGGGCATAGGAATTTGTTCATTTCCCCCCCAAAAATATAGTCTGGTCCACCACATGGTCTGAGGGACGGTGGACCGGCCCACGGCTGAAAAAGGTTGCTGACCCCTGTTCAGTCTAAAGCATCACCCATCCACCCATCGTTCCAGTCTTGTATTTCTCTACCTAATATACCAGCAGGTGGCAATATAATCCAATAAGTGGTGCAGTTTCATGATGAAATTTGGGACATACCCAGACAGTCTCAGAATTCATGTTGCACTTTTCCATTCCTCATTTTTTGGGCTACGAAAACTACAAGACATTTCCACAGTCCGGGTGACATCTTGATTTTCCCAGAACGAAAACCTGCTTTTCTTCTGGACGTTGAAGGGGCCCGGCGTGCATCACGCACCATGATGTCATGCACATAATTCATTGCGCATCACAGCTTCAGCGACTGGCTCCTCCAGAGCGTTTGACCTCCTTCAGACAGCATGATGTTGCATGCGCACGCCCCATCCCCTCAGTCCCCTGACGCCTCTGCTCACCAATTTCATATGGCGTCTGGGAGGTTCAGATTTGTTCCTGGACTCTTTGCAGAAGCAACTTTGGGGGACCTGCCTTTTGGCTAAAATGAACGAGGGGCACTCTCAGGTCCCTGGATTAGGGCAGTGTGCATTGAGCTAGGGTTACCAGACATCCCTGGTTTCTGGGGACAGTCCCCGGATTTGAAAATCTGTCCCCGGACAAATTCCATCCCCGGAACGTCCCCAAATTTGCAAATCCACCAGGAAACGTGGCAGCAGCAACCTCAGCAGCCCGGAGCCAGCCTGGTAGCGCAGTTGGCTCTGGCTGGCTTCAGGAGCTGCTCGCTGCCGTGGCACCCGCCATTTTTCCTCGCTGGAAGTCCCCATATGATGTTTCTTGTGTGCAACACATCATATGGGGACTTCCAGAGAGGAAAAATGGCAGGCGCCACGGCAGTGAGCAGCTCCTGAAACCAGCCAGAGCCAACTGCGCTACCAGGCTGGCTCCGGGCTGCTGACTGCTGCCATCACAGCCGAAGGGGAACTGGGGATGTCCAGTGGTACAGGTCTCCTGCCCCCTTCCCCCTTTGTTTTGACTGATTGGGGGAGGCTCGGGAGTCATGGGTGGGTGGCGCGCCATTGCCCAGGAGGGGCGCAAGGTGCATAGCTTCTCTGCCGGGCAAGGTGCAAAGCCCTTATTTCGCATCCTGTGAAACATAAATGCGCAGAGTTTTTTTTTAAAAAAAACTGGGCAACGGCACACTGCCCATTGAGCCTCCCCCGATCTGTCAAAACAAAGGGGGAAGGGGGCAGGAGATTGGGGAAGGCTCGGGAGTCATAGAATCATAGAATCATAGAATCATAGAGTTTGAAGAGACCACAAGGGCCATCGAGTCCAACCCCCTGCCAAGCAGGAAACACCATCAGAGCACTCCTGACATATGGTTGTCAAGCCTCTGCTTAAAGACCTCCAAAGAAGGAGACTCCACCACACTCCTGGGCAGCAAATTCCACTGTCGAACAGCTCTTACTGTCAGGAAGTTCTTCCTAATGTTTAGGTAGAATCTTCTTTCTTGTAGTTTGGATCCATTGCTCCGTGTCCGCTTCTCTGGAGCAGCAGAAAACAACCTTTCTCCCTCCTCTATGTGACATCCTTTTATATATTTGAACATGGCTATCATATCACCCCTTAACCTCCTCTTCTCCAGGCTAAACATGCCCAGCTCTCTTAGCCGTTCCTCATAAGGCATCGTTTCCAGGCCTTTGACCATTTTGGTTGCCCTCCTCTGGACACGTTCCAGTTTGTCAGTGTCCTTCTTGAACTGTGGTGCCCAGAACTGGACACAGTACTCCAGGTGAGGTCTGACGGGAGGGCAGCGTGCCATTGCCCAGTTTTTTAAAAACTCTGTGCAATTATGTTTCACAGGGTTCAAAAGAAGGGCTTTGCACCTTTATACAATATGCATGTGTGCTTGGGCCCAGGGTCTTTTGCCTCACCATCCCCACTACTGATGCCCTGCTGCTACTCAGCTTCAAAAAAAAAAAAAAAAAGTATGCCTGGATTCATTGAAAAAAATCTGGTAACCATATATTGAGCGCTTGTGGGATGTAATATAAGCAGTCAAATACAACATTTCCTGTTTGCCTAGAGTGGACACAGACAGGGGGATGTTGGTCCAGCCAGTTGAACTTCCTGTCACACCTGGTCTGGAGCATCCTTCCTTTAAAGGTAGCCAGGTAGGTGGGCATGGACCTGGGAGACCCGACAAAAGGTCCAGTCACGCAGCCACCTTCCTCTCTTTCAATACCTTTTCTTCTCTCAGCCAGCAGCATGTGGGATCAGTTCCCATATGGGATGAACTCAAACCCTCTTCTGTAACTCTAAGCTAAAGCCTCTTTGCCTTCAGGGATCCAGCTGTGAACTGAATGTAAGTAAACTTCTTACTACTTTTAAGACTGTTGTGTCTTTATTCTTTTAGGAGGGAATCAAAGAGGTCTTACCAGAAATAATATAAGTTAAGATATTATAATGAATCTGCAACTAGCTTCCTGCTAGCTTCCTGTGAGGGGAGAGACTCCATCAGGGAAGGCCTCCTTCCACCTGCCTTGCTCCACCCTCTAGTCTCTGCTTCTCAATTTGTATTGTATTATTTTATGTACTGTGGCTTGCCGCTGTTTTATTGATTCTAGTTTAGAAACTATTTATTGTAACTGTTAAGTGGATTTCTGTCTAACTTTTATATGTTATTATTATTTAATAATATTCTAATGATTGTTGAATGTTACTTTTTGATGTAGGCTGCCGATTTTAAAGTTATGTCTTATTATCATATTTTTGTATTGCACTAGATTGTTATAAGATGTACATTTTTTCTTTCTTCAGCTTGTAAACTGCCTTGAGTATTGTAAAATAGAGAGACGTTATACAAATTAAAAATGATGATGATGCTGTGTAAAGAGGGGAATGTACTCTGCTGTATGAATAAACTCACTAGCGTGAGTTAGGAAGGATAATATTTAATCAATATATCCCCTCCTGCTACCCACAACATTCCCACAGGGCTGTGGTGCTTGTGGTGCAGGCCAGGTTCCCTGTGAAATCTGGCCACAAGCAGGTTGTTAATCCCATTGCAAATGTTCTTCAAAACACATAAGATGTTTATTCAGGTAAGATTCGGACAAAGCTTTGACATCAGCTCTACAGTTCTTCCACACTGATCTCCCCCCCGCCCCAATGTTTACTTGGCATCCTTTGCAAGACTATCCTCTTTCTGATACATCTACCCCTAAACCCCACTCTGAGGTCTTTTGCCATTGAGGAGTTGGTTGGCAAGACCAGTTTGAAGAAGTTGTGTGACCTTATGGGAGAGAGATTCCAACCATAGACCCGGCTGGAGAATTTGCACCTCCTGGTCCAGATCTCTGCTGCAGATGTTGCTCTCAGCTCCCTCAAGCTTTTCTGAAGTCGCCCTGGCAGCTATGATTTTGCAGCCAATCCTACCCCCCACCCCTGACTCCAAATTGAAGAGTCCCCTCCACAGTGGGCAGAAGCAGGGCATGGATAATATTCCAGCTTCTGCTTTCAGGAATTCTGAAAATACAAGTCTCTCATTTTTCAGTTAACCCGTTCCAAGGAAGGACTGAGTCTTTGCAGAAAAGCATCTCTAGCACCAGGTCAGGAAAGCAAAAAGGCCCTTTCCCCCCATTTTAAAGATCTTGAGGGTTTTGTTTTTACAAATCAAGCAGTATATAAGTTTTACGAAATAAGCAAAAGTGATGCTGTCTCTTTTCTCCTCCTCTTCTTCCAACTACGCTAAACAGTTCAGCTTCAAAGAGATATGGGTCCCTGTCGCAAGGGGTCTCTGTGATACGCTGCAGAAATATGCCCCCAAACTGCCAGAGCAAACGAGGAAACCTTCCATTTGCAAAGCAGTTCCTTTTGAATGGCAGCAGGTGGCAATGGCGAATCCTCAAGGCTGAACAGGCAAGATGTCTGAAACATTAAGCGAAAGAGGGACTTCGAGGTCCAGCAAAGCCCAGCTTCTTCCAGCAGAGGGCAGCACTGCACTGCTCCAAGCTGGCGCCCATCGGTCTGCATAAAATATACTGATATTCCAAACCCATTTCGTTGGTTTCCTTTTTGTAGCCTGTTTTGTTCTGACAGAGAGCTGGACGCAGCCATTCTTCAAGAAGCCATGACTTCCACTGAGCTGCCATCTCTACAGCTTGCAGCCACCAAAGCGTCCACATTTAGGGAGAGCACCAACCACCCCTCGTTCATCAAGCTAGCCTTGCTGCCAGAATGCACTCCCCCTGGGTGAAAGCACCCGAGGGTCGGATTCTGTCCACTGCTCTTTGCATTGTCCACGTGACAGACCGACTGGCCATGCCTCAGGATGGGCCGGTGGACTGCGATGCAGTTGTCCAGGGTCATCCATCGCCCAGCTGTGATTTGATGAGAAAGAGATCCTTGGGTTCCTTCACGGGGAGAGGTGGGGGCGGAACGTGCGGGGGCGGATCATCATGGTGACTTTCTTGAGGGAGTAATAATCGGTGTCCTTCCACGTGTACCAGACCACTCCATCGGGGCCAAGAATCTTGCGGTTCTTCAGAGAGTATCTTCCACCCTGCGCATATGGGCAACACGGGAGGAGAGGAGAGAGGGAGAGAGTTGGGGAAGAGAACAGAGGGTAAATTTGAACCCTTTGGCTAAAATCAGATGTGGAAGTCTGACACCTAGAGCTTAATGTGGGGTGGGAGAACCGGAGGCCCTCTAAATTAAGGGTGGGTAATTCTACCAATCTCTGTTTCTCATTTCTGCGTCAGTTTATGCTTGCTAGTTTTTTTTTTAACATCTCCATGAAAACTGTGAGCATTCTGGTGTTGGTGCTGACCTTTAAAGCCCTAAATGGCCTCAGCCCAGTATACCTGAAGGAGCGTCTCCACCCCCATCGTTCTGCCTGGACCCTGAGGTCCAGCGCCGAGGGCCTTCTGGTGGTTCCCTCACTGCGAGAAGCAAAGCTACAGGGAACCAGGCAGAGGGCCTTCTCGGTAGTGGTGCCCGCCCTGTGGAACACCCTCCCACCAGATGTCAAAGAGAACAACAACTACCTGGCATTTAGAAGACATCTGAAGGCAGTCCTGTATAGGGAAGCTTTTAACATTTAACAGACCACTGTATTTTAATATTTTGTTGGAAGCCGCCCAGAGTAGCTGGGGAAACCCAGCCAGATGGGTGGGGTATAAATAATAAATTGTTATTACTATTATTATTATTATTATATAGTGGGAGGGTGGGGTGGGGTTTTTCTCAGAAAGGTAGTGGGAGATGGGTGATTGACTCAATGGGTATGGTAAACCTGTTGACAACTGTTAACGACTGCAATTAGTCCTACAGGAAAAAGCAAGGGATAATATGCAGATGACCAATAATAGCTTTAGCATATACAGTGGTACCTCAGGTTAAGAACTTAATTCATTCTGGAGGTCCATTCTTAACCTGAAACTGTTCTTAACCTGAAGCACCACTTCAGGGGCCTCCTGCTGCTGCTGCGCCACCAGAGCACGATTTCTGTTCTCATCCTGAAGCAAAATTCTTAACCCGAGGTACTATTTCTGGGTTAGTGGAGTCTGTAACCTGAAGTGTCTGTAACCCAAGGTACCACTGTACAGTGGAACCTCGTGTTACGGACGGGATCCGTTCCGGAGGCCCGTCCATAACACGGAACTGATGCATGCCGAAGTGCCGCGTCTACGCATGCGCACAGCGTGATTTAGCGCTTCTGCACATGCGCGAGCCTTGAAACTCAGAAGTAACCCGTTCCGGTACTTCCGGGTTGCCGCAGGACGCAACACGAAAACACGAAACCTGAAGCGGACCTAACTTGAGGTATGACTATAAATTTAGCATATAAATTTAGCAATTTCTAGCATATTACACCCACCCACCCACAAGCTTGCTGGAAGCTGAAATTAAAATGAAAACCCGAGAGGGCAGGTGGGCTGTGGAGACCACCTCAGTGTCCTTACTTACTTTGTAGTAAACGCCGTTGAGGTTGGAGAAGAAGCATTGGTGGTACCACCAGCCTCCGTGGGAGATGGCGGCGCAGATATTCCCCGAGTCGGGCGTGCTGAAACTCCTCTTGTTGTGGTACCAGGCGAAGGAATCCTCCACCGTCCCGCTGAAGCCCTCCACATGCAGGCGGTAGTAATTCACCTCGTTCTCGATACTGCAAGGCAACACGGAAGGTTTCTGAGAGCATCTAAGAGTGGGCTTCTAAGTCGTCACTCCCGAGCCGGGACAACATCAGAGGGGAGGTGGTTTTGCAGAAATTGAAAGGCATGCTGACCTTGGGCTTCTTGTTTCCTAACCTCTGCACTCTGCAGGCGAGGGCCTCCTGCAGACGGCATATTATTTATTTCCTCATTAAAACATTTGTATAGGATGTGGGTGGCGCTGTGGGTTAAACCACAGAGCCTAGGACTTGCTGATCAGAAGGTCGGCGGTTCGAATCCCCACGACGGGGTGAGCTCCCATTGCTCATTCCCTGCTCCTAAAGGGTGGGGTGTAAACTTAAATGATTTTATTTATTTATCCATTAAAAAATAATAATAATTAGACACGCCCAAGCAGATGTTTAGAAAGTTTAAAATTTTTCCTGCTATTCCCCCCCCAATTGATAATTTTATGGTTTTATCTTTTTTTGTAAACCGCTTGGTTTTTTGTTTTAACAATAAAGCGGTGTAGGAATAGGTCATGAAATAAATGAATAAAACAAATCCCTGACCATTGGGCGTGCTGGCTCTTGGGGCTGATGGGAGGAGGCAGTTCAACAAGAGGGTGCTTAGGATAGAGGAAAGCATCTAAAATATGGGTGGTGTACTGTGGAGAGTGTATTAACTTATGGTCTATGTGTGTGGTTTGGGAGCTGCACGGTCAGGGGAAAACCAATGCTGTCCAGGGTTGTAAAGACTGCAGAGAGAATAATTGGGTGCACTCTTCCCACCTTGGACCAAATCTATGCCTCCAGGTGCCATAAGGAAGCTGCAGAGATAGCGCAGGATAGTGCGCACCCCGGAAATGATCTCTTTCAGCTTCTGCCTTCTGGAAGAAGGTCCAGGGTTATAAAGACTAGGACTAGCTGCCTGAGAAACAGTTTCTATCCAAATGCAATTTTGGTTTTAAATGCCATGTAAGGAGTCTCTATGGGAGTATATTGTATTTAAAAATGGGGTATCAGAGTTTTTAGGGGGCTAACCTGGCAGGGATAGCTGGGGTAGCAGGCTTGTTGGGTTTTGAATGTCTTATGTAGATTTTTCAATTTCGTTGTTCTGTATGGGACAATGGCAATAAAGATTATCGTATTATCGTGTTTTGCTGGGCAGCAACCCAGATGCCCTCTCACCTGAAGACCTACCTGAACAGCTGGTAAAAGGCATGTTTGTGCTTATTGTTCCAATCTTCCAGGTCGATGCGGAGAGAGTAGTCCCCTTGGCTGGTGATCTTGTGAATGTTTTCATTGCCCATCCAGAATTCACTGCTCAACTCCCCAAAGCCGTCTTTGTACTCGTTCCACGTCCGGTTGAAATTGACCGTGCCATCCTGACGCCGCTGGATGACGGTCCAGCCTCCACCTGCCACACAATTGCGGCGAGAAATGTCATTGAATTGACAATCCAACTGAAAAAAAACACACACCCTGATCTGAACTTCTCCCACCCCGTTTGGAAGATTTAAAGGTAAAGGACCCCTGAGGGACGCGGGTGGTGCTGTGGGTTAAACCACAGAGCCTAGGACTTGCTGATCAGAAGGTCGGTGGTTTGAATCCCCGCGACGGGGTGAGCTCCCGTTGCTCGGTCCCTGCTCCTGCCAACCTAGCAGTTCGAAAGCACGTCAAAGTGCAAGTAGATCAATAGGTACCACTCCGGCGGGAAGGTAAACGGCGTTTCCGTGCGCTGCTCTGGTTCGCCAGAAGCGGCTTAGTCATGCTGGCCACATGACCCCGAAGCTGTACGCCGGCTCCCTCGGCCAGTAAAGCGAGATGAGTGCCGCAACTCCAGAGTCGTGCACGACTGGACCTCATGGTCAGGGGTCCCTTTACCTTTACCTAGAGGACCCCTGACAGTTAAGTCCAGTCACGAAGCAGCGTCTGACCCAAGCATCTCAACGTGTAAGGAAACACCAGGGAGGACCTGCTCCCATTGCCTCCTTCCATACCTTCCACATCCATCTCGCACAGCACTTCAATGGGCAGACCTCCATCGGATGGCATGATGCTATAGACACCCGACCGCCGGACCCCGTTGTAGTATATGGAGGCACAATCGATGGGGCAGTTCTTGGCATGCTTCACATCTGCCGGGGAGGAAGGGAGAGAAAAACCATTTCAAGGCATCATCTGGACTGAGCCCGCAAACCAATAATAACAAGCTGATTTTAATTGCTCCACCTAGGGTTGCCGTATTTCAAGAAGTGAAAATCCGGACAAAAAAGTTGTTGAGCTTCTTTTTTGGGGGGGAGGGGAGCTGTTGAGTCCTTCCTTCCTTCCTTCCTTCCTTCCTTCCTTCCTTCCTTCCTTCCTTCCTTCCTTCCTTCCTCCCTCCCTCCCTCCCTCCCTCCCTCCTTTTTTTTGTGAAATCTCCAAAAAAAATGAAGTTTTTGATATACAGTGGTTCCTCTGGTTGCAAACGGGATCCGTTTCGGAGGCCCATTCGCAGCATGAAAAGAGCGCAACCCACAGTAGCACATCTGCGCACGCACAGGTTGCGATTCGTCACTTCTGAGCATGCACGCGATGTCACTTTGCGCATCTGCGCATGCGCGAGCTGTGAAACCCGGAAGTAACCCTTTCCGATACTTCTGGGTCGCCGCGGGATGTAACCTGAAAGAATGTAACGTAACATGAGGTATGACTGTATTCTTAAGGAAATTCACCAAAAAAGCAACACTTCCAACATGGGTTGCCATATACCTGGGTTTTCCCGGACATTTTTACTGATTTCCTGAAATTCCACCCAGACACTATTTCCAACGGACGAATCCTGTATATGTCTGGGAAATCCCAGACTTACAGCAGCCCTAGCTCCACACTGGCATGTGATTGGACCCCACCCAAGCACATTGACCAGAGTCCCTCTTCTTGCCCTCTTCTTCCGAGAGCCAGTGTGGTGTGGTGGTTAAGAGCGGTGGACTCGTAATCTGGTGAACCGGGTTCAATTCCCTGCTCCTCCACATGCAGCTGCTGTGTGACCGTGGGCCAGTCACACTTCTCTGAAGTGTCTCAGCCCCACTCACCTCACAGAGTGTTTGTTGTGGGGGAGGAAGGGAAAGGAGATTGTTAGCCACTTTGAGACTCCTATGGGTAGGGATAAAGCGGGATATCAAATCCAAACTCCTCCTCTTCTCCTCCACACTGGCATGTGATTGATCCCCACTCATGCACAGTGACCAGAGTCCCTCTTCTTGCTGCAAAATGCCTCTCCCTTTGGCCCAGGGGCAACCGAGGTGACTCTGCTTACGTAGCCTCGGTGTGCAGTGGGATCAGAAGCGGACTGACCTGGTCTACATCCCGCTTAAAGCCAGGGGGACAGCGAGCACACAACATCCAGAACTGGCCGGCTTAAAGGATTGCTAGCCCAGAGGCGTGCTCTTCCCTTCGCCTACGTCAGGGGCTCAGGCTGGATTTGGGCTAGTGGGTGAAAGTCTTTATCAGATAATCCCAGTTGGAGGATAGATGGGAAGGGCTCCGTCAACCTGGTTGTTGTTATGGGGTCAAAGCCCTCAACCGAAGGAACAGCATCACAAACACCATTAAGGGCATTTCCTTTGGGATCTTAGGGTGGGGAGAGGACCAGGAGACAAAAGGGGGCAGGGATGCCCCACAGAATACAGAGGAGGTGCCAAATGAAGGCTCAGGATGGGATTGGGGAAGTGAGGAAATCATGCATGATCAAGGAAAAGGTAAAGGTAAAGGGACCCCTGACCATTAGGTCCAGTCGTGGCCGACTCTGGGGTTGCGGTGCTCATCTCGCTTTATTGGCCGAGGGAGCCGGCATACAGCTTCCGGGTCATGTGGCCACCATGATAAGCCGCTTCTGGCGAACCAGAACAGCGCACGGAAACGCCGTTTACCTTCCCGCCGGAGTGGTACCTATTTGTCTACTTGCACTTTGACGTGCTTTCGAACTGCTAGGTTGGCAGGAGCAGGGACCGAGCAACGGGAGCTCACCCTGTTGCGGGGATTCAAACCGCCGACCTTCTGATCGGCAAGTCCTAGGCTCTGCGGTTTAACCCACAGCGCCACCCGCGTCCCCATATAGCATATATTCAACACAAAAAACAGCGACAATCTGTTGTTGGCAAAGCACAGCTGGACACATAAAGGGCCCCGTTACCTTCAGTACCTTCAAAGCTAAATTCGGCCCTGACCCCAAGGGTCATCTCGTCCAAACCTCTGCAGGGCAGGAGTCTTTTGGCCAACGTGGGACTCGAACCCGGATCTTGGCTCTTCCGGGGGGACTCACCTGGGTAGTGCATCTCGTGCTGGAGTCTCATCTCCACTGGGACCAGGCAGCCTGGGTTGTGGCGCACCCAGTCCATCAGCAGGGAGACATTGTGGACCTGGGCCTGCATGTCGTATAGCAGCGTGGCCTGAATGTGCTGAAGGGTGCTGGCCTCCTGGTAGTGCTGCTCCAGCTCCTGAACCCGCTGCTCCACGGTGGCGTTACGGCTGGACTTCTCTTCATGCTTCACAGCAGCAGAATGGGGGCCGGCAGGAGGCGTGGAATAAAGAAGGGCAGTGGAATTAATGGACTATGCAGAATTGGATAAGATGACAGGAAGGAATCCGAAACCTGCGGGACCAGAGGTTCTCAGAGGACTGGAGTAAATACTGGAACTATTTGTAAAGCAATTGTAATAAACGGGTTACGCCGGTAGGACCGCGAGATGTTTTGTAAGGAGGATTATGCGAAATATTGCGTTTATGAAGAGAGTTATTAGTTAGGGACAATTAAAAGTAATAGGGAAATTAAGAAATGTAGATTAAGTGATAAAGATTGACAAAACCTTCAGATGCGGTTGATGGAAGTCCAAAACATTGTATAAGATAAGAATATATGTTATATGATTGTTGGGAATTATATGTAAAAAATTAATAAGATGGTTGATTGATAGATATATAGATAAAGAAGGACAAGCAAAACATTCAAGAGTGGGATGAGATGCTCCAGAAATAAACATCACCCCCTACCCACCTCCTGAACTGGGCCAACTGGTCAATAGAGGAACAACTTTTTAGAAATTGGTGCCCAATATTGAAGTTTGTTGTTCCTCTTCTTTCCCTGTGTCTTTCCCCTTTTGTGTTGTGTTTTCGCCCTGACTGTAAGCCTGTGAGGCAGTGACTGCCTTGTTTAATTGGTTGTATGCAGCTGAAGGCAAAGGTAAAGGCCCCCTGGACAGTTAAGTCCAGTCAAAGGTGACTGGGGTTGCTGCGCTCATCTCGCTTTCAGGCCGAGGGAGCTGGCGTTTGACCACAGACAGTTTTCCGGGTCATGTGGCCAGCATGATAAAACCGCTTCTGGGTCATGTGGCCGCTTCTGGGTCATGATAAAACCGCTTCCGGGTCATGTGGCCAGCATGATAAAACCATGACGGAAACCAGAGCACATGGAAACACCATTTACCTTCCCGCTGCAGTGGTACCTATTTATCCACTTGCACTGGTGTGCTTTTGAACTGCTAGGTAGGCAGGAGCTGGGACACAGCAACAGGAGCTCACCCCGTTGCGGGGATTCAAACTGCCGACCTTCTGATCGGCAAGCCCAAGAGGCTCAGTGGTTTAGACCACAACACCACCTGTGTCCCTATTGTATGCAACCTGCACTGGGAGCCTTTCTGGCTGAAGAGTGAGGTCCCAAAAACTCCAAACAAACAAACAAACAAACAAACAAACAAACAAACAAACAAACAAACAAACAAGAATGGTCTGGATAGGTTAGTTGGTTAGAGTGTGGTGCTGATAATACCAAGGGTGCAGATTTGACCCCCATGTGGGATGGCTAAATTTTCCTGCATTGCAAGGGAATCTAGATCTAGATGATCCTCTGGGTCCCTTCTAACTCTACAATATTAGGATTCTAAGAATGCCCTTTTCTACTGATGCTTTAAAGTATGGGTAGGCAACCAAAGGCCCGGGGGCCGGATCCGGCCCAATCGCCTTCTAAATCTGACCTGCGGACGGTCCGAGAATCAGCTTGTTTTTACATGAGTAGAATGTGTCCTTTTATTTAAAATGCATCTCTGGGTTATTTGAGGGGCATAGGAATTCGTTCATTAATTTTTTCCCCAAAATATAGTCCGGCCCCCCACAAGGTCTGAAGGACAGTGGACCGGCCTCCTGCTGAGAAAGTTTGCTGACCTCTGCTAAAGGATGGGCAAAATGCAGTGGGCAAGCTTGCTGAGGAAACATTGTGCTGGGGAATAATAATAATAATAATAATAATAATAATAATAATAATAATATATTATTTGTACCCTGCCCATCTGGCAGGCTTTCCCCAGCCACTCTGGGCGGCTTCCAACAAAGATTAAAAATACATTAGAATGTCACACATTAAAAGGGGTGATATGATAGCCATGTTCAAATATATAAAAGGATGTCACATAGAGGAGGGAGAAAGGTTGTTTTCTGCTGCTCCAGAGAAGCGGACACGGAGCAATGGATCCAAACTGCAAGAAAGAAGATTCCATCTAAACATTAGGAAGAACTTCCTGACAGTAAGAGCTGTTCGACAGTGGAATTTGCTGCCAAGGAGTGTGGTGGAGTCTCCTTCTTTGGAGGTCTTTAAGCAGAGGCTTGACAACCATATGTCAGGAGTGCTCTGATGGTGTTTCCTGCTTGGCAGGGGGTTGGACTCGATGGCCCTTGTGGTCTCTTCCAACTCTATGATTCTATGAAAACTTCCTTGAACAGGGCTGTATTGCACATGATGCACATGATGCACATTCCTAACACACACGCACAATGTACAAGACTTGTGTGGCCAAACCCCTTAAGAGCTGATGACTCTGGTGTGATGGAGATCTCTGGCTCATCGGTCTGATCTGTCATTAGCCAACCCCCCAAGAGAAGCTTATCTGGCAAAGGGCAAGGACCCTCTGTAGAGAATTAAACAAAGAGAACCTGTGATCCTCTCATCTTGCACGGAGACACTTTGTGGCAGCGGGAAGCTCAGCAGAGAAATAAGCAGACATGTGTTGGATAAAGGGCATGATCCAAGGAGAGCAAGCTTGGTACGAAACCCAGCACAGGGACGTGAACCAACGCGGGGCACACAATTCAGTGAGGTTCTCCTTCTTGAAGCTCCTTTCGAGTAGGAGCCCCTCTGCAGTGGGGCTCATGCAGGAAGACAAAAACATGAGGAAAGGCTGGTGGATCAGGCCCGTGGACCACCTAGTCCAGCATCCTGGCCTCACAGCGGCCAACTAGATGCCTGTGGGAAGCCCACAGCGAGCACAAGTGGTCTCTCCCCTTCTGTGATTTCCAGGAGATCTCCTACTGGATTGCTCCTAAAATCCATTGGTCCCACAACCTGCAGACTAACAGGAAATGAAATTGATTTATCTCTTAGCTGAGCTACCATGGGAGCCAAGGCGTCCCTTTCCTGGCAGTGGGGCATGCGCCAGAGACATCATCAGGAAACCGAGCTCAGATTTATTTATGTTATTGCTATTATGGTCATGGTACACCTGTGCAGGTGTTCTCATACTTCATCACAGTCATCACAGGTGGGGCTCTGGGCTCCAGGGGGTTTCCTTCCATTTCTGACTGGGAGGCCCCCAGGTTTCATACTTCTGTTCCCAGGAGTATCCAAAATAAATATCCAAAATAACTAAATCACCTGTTCAGGTTCCCTCACAGCTGTCATTCCTGAATATGTGAATCATGGAATCATAGAAATGTAAGGACTCCTTACGGGGTCCTCGCCATGGGATCACATTCATCCAGTGCTTTACCAACTGCACTGGCTCCCAGTGGAGTACAAGGTCAGGTTTAAGGTGCTGGTTTTGACCTTTAAAGCCCTATGCTGCCTAGGACCCTCGTACCTACGGGCCCGCCTCTCCTGGTATGCCCCGTGGAGGACCTTAAGGTCCACAAATGACAACATTTTGGAGGTCCCAGGTCACAAGGTGGTTAGATTGGTCTCAACTAGGGCCAGGGCCTTTTCAATACTGGCCCCGACGTGGTGGAACGCTCTGTCCCAAGAGACTAGGGGCCTGTGGGACTTGATATCTTTCCGTAGGGCCTGCAAGACAGAGCTGTTCCGCCTGGCCTTTGGTTTGGACTCAGTCTGACCCTTATGTTTCCCTCCCCTTATGGTTCTGATCTATGGGCTACTTTTAAAATGAGGCTGCATTTTAAATTGCATTTTAACCTGTATTTTTCGCTCTATAGGACGCACCGGACCATAGAACGCACCGGACCATAGGAGGAGGAGAACAGGGGGAAAAAATTCTCCCCCTCTCTGAGCAGCGCCCCTTCAGCAAAGTGGGAGGAGAAACGAAGTGAAGCGAAGCCTGGAGAGCAAGCGGGATTGGTGTGCACCGACCCCTCTCGCTCTTCAGGCAGCTATCCGCAAGCCTTCGGAGCTTGCGGATAGCTGCCTGAAGCCCCCGGAGTGCAGCGGGAGTTCCCTGCACTCCGGGGGCTTCAGGCGGCTTCAGCGAAAGCAACGCGAAGCCTCCGGAGTGCGGTGGGAGCTCTCCCTCTGCGCTTCGGAGGCTTCCCGTTGCTATTGCTGAAGCCAAGGAGCCTACATTCGCTCCATAGGATGCACACATATTTCCCCTTCATTTTTGGAGGGGGAAAAGTGCGTCCTATATAGTGAAAAATACGGTAAATTGGTCCCCCCCCCATTATGTTTTTACTGTAATTTTAATGGTGCTAGCTGCCCTGAGCCCGGCTCTGGCTGGGGAGGGCGGGGTATAAATAAAATGTATTATTATTATTAGAGTTGGAAGGGGTCCTGGGGTCATCTAGTCCAACCCCCTGCAATGCAGGAATGTCAACTAAAGCATCCATGACAGGTGTCCCTCCACCCTCTGCTTAAAGACCTCCAAGGAAGGAGAGTCCACAACTTCCCAAGGGAGACCATTTCCCTGTCAAACAGTTCTTGCCACCACAAAGTTCTTCCTGATGTTTAGCAAGACAACAGCTGAAGAATCTATGACATGGGTGCTTAGCTGCAGCTGGGATTTCAATAGCCCACAACGGGAAACCTTGAACCAAAATCTGCTTTTGGCTTGGTGGTATAATAACTTGTGGACGTTGTCTATTGCGAGGGGAAATCGCACACATGCTGCGCGTTTCCAGGGGTGTGTGTGGAGGACTGGAGGTGGTTGGAGGATGGATGGCAGTTAATGGATTGAATCCTGACAAGACAGAAGGACTGTTTTTGGGGGACAGGAGGCAGGCGGGTGTGGGGGACTCCCTGGTCCTGAATGGGGTAACTGTGCCCCTGAAGGACCAGGTGAGCAGCCTGGGAGTCATTCTGGACTCACAGCTGTCCATGGAGAGGCAGGTCAACTCTGTGTCCAGGGCAGCTGTTTACCAGCTCCATCTGATATGCAGGCTGAGACCCTACCTGCCCTCAGACTATCTCACCAGAGTGGTGCATGCTCTGAAGGCGGCCCTGTTTAGGGAAGCTTTTAATGTTTAACAGACCACTGTATTTTAATACTTTGTTAGAAGCCACCTAGAGTGGCTGGGGAAACCCAGCCAGATGGGCGGGGTAGAAATAATAAATTATTATTATTATTATTATTATTATTATTATTATTCAAAATGCTTTTATGTCAGCCATGGGGATTTTATTTACTAAACTCCAGACTTAGATGCTCAATATACACCATCCATGCACGCCACCTAAGGAAATATGGATGTCTTGATTTGTATTGCTGTGTCGCAGTTTCTTTCTCTTGCTATTTACTGCTTGTTGGTTTTGTAAACTGCATGATGCATTACCTTGCTGCCACATTTTTGGGTTGCTACTAATGTTAATCAAAGTTAAAGCATGATGGTGATCAACTAATTAATACCAGGAGTGTAGGTGCTCTCATCCTCAGAGAGGAGCAACCAGATTTGTGCAGGTGATGGACGCAAAATTGCAGAATGGTTCCAGTAAACAAATTCTGAGCTCCGTCGGATGGCAAAGATTTATGAGTCATAATAATAAGAAAATATTGTTTCTTCCTAAGGGGCCAAATCTCCCTTCCTTCTGTAATTCATACCGGGCGAACAGCCATCCTTTCTCTTACTCGATTCTCTATATCCTTTTTCATTTACATAACCTCCAGTTATGCAAATATTAAAGCACAATCTGTTCTCTTCTTACATCCAGGATCGAAACAAAAAATAAATAAATAGGGAAGCTATTTTTATTTGGTAGATTAATCAACTAACAGTCCAATCCTAAACTTGCCTACTTGGAAGTTAAGTCCTGTTGAACAGGAAAAGGCTTGCTCCCAAGTAAGTGGTGTGAGGATGGCAGACTAAGGGGGGCAACTGATGCATTTGTTTTGACAGACTCCTCCCTCCCCATTGCACCCCAAATCTGCTCCAGAGCATTGGGGAAGACCCCGGAACAGATTTAGAGGGTGCCTGGAGGGCTGGGAGGGGGAAAATGCCATTGCACCAGCAGAAATCCTTACACGAATGGAACGAGTTGCTTACTGCTACATTGAATACAAGTACACATTTTTAGTTGATTAAATTGTAGAGAGACAATTAAATTTGGCATGGTACTGAGTTAAGCATGTACTTAGTTTCAGAGGCTAGTTTTAAAGAATCCCAGAATCCCAGACACTGTCAAAAGCTGTTGAAAGAGTGCAAATATTTACCTGTAATCAATCAATCAATCAATCAATCAATCAATCAGAAAGCAGATGGTTAATCAAATAAACTGGGTGGCAGTCTGTCCTCTCCTCCTGTGCCCAATCCCACCACTCAGGAGCAAAAGGGTTATTTAATTCTAATCAGCAACTCCTTTTTCTGGATAAAGGCTCTCTCAATCCTACATGGGCTTCTTATTTGCCTTATGGCAGGCTTCCTTCACCTCGGCCCTCCAGATTTCTTGTGACTACAATTCCCATCATCCCTGACCACTGGTCCTGCTAGCTAGGGATCATGGGAGTTGTAGTCCCAAAACATCTGGAGGGCCGAGGTTGAGGAAGCCTGCCTTATGGGGTCTCAGCTCTGGGATTCCAATACCTCAAGCAATCTCCTCTAACTAGTGATATTCTGTTGCCACCTTATAAACACTAATAAGTCTGATTTATTCTGTCACAGACATGATAGCTTGGCCAAATGGCCATCTGTTAGAGACTCTTAAGTTGAGATCCCTGCATTGCTGGACTAGAAGATCCTTAGGATCCACTCCAACTTTACTGTTCTATGATTTTGCGATGGTAAAAGCTGACTATAGCAGATTCTTATATGATTTGTTTCTAATAACTGTGTTTGGATACCACAAGTTTGGCATGAGCCAACAGCGTGACTCAGCAGCAGAAAACACTAATTTTGTTCTAGGCTGCATCAACAGAAGTATAGTGTCCAGGTCATGGGTAGGCAAACTAAGGCCCGGGGGTCGGATCCGGCCCAATCGCCTTCTCAATCAGGCCTGCAGACGGTCTGGGAATCAGCGTGTTTTTACATGAGTAGAATGTGCTCTTTTAATTAAAATGCATCTCTGGGTTATTTGTAGGGTATAGGAATCCGTTCATTCCCCAACCGCTAAATATAGTCCGGCCCTCCCACAAGGTCTGAGGGACAGTGGACTGGCCCCCTGCTGAAAAAGTTTGCTGACCCCTGGTCCAGGTCAAGGGAAATGATAGTACCATTCTATTCTGCCTTTGGCTGATTAATATTCTATAGTAGCAGTTCTCAACCTGTAGGTCCCCAGATGTTGTTGGACTACAAATCCCATCACCCCTGAGCTCTGGCCTTGCTAGCTAGGGGTGATGGGAGTTGTAGTTCAACAACATCTGGGGACCTACAGGTTGAGAAAGGCTGTCCTATAGCCCTTTAAATGTATCTGTGGGAAGTGGGGTGGTCATTATTTTGTTGCATTGGTTTAATTATTTACTTGTGTTCTATCTTGTATTTTATTCCGTAAGCTGCCTTGGGATGTCTTGATGGATGGATGGATGGATGAATCTGATGTCACAATCACATCATGTGACTGACAGGTGGGTTGCCCCAACCATGCACTAAAGTTGGAACGTGGGAGTGGGGACAGATCCAGCCCAATGGTCCCCAAAGTCTCCCTTTACCTAAGTTGCTGCCCATGTTTTTCCCCATTAAGAAACTCACCTGCAGCTCCAAAATCTTGATGCGGTGACGATGGTTCCTCAGCTCCTCCTGGAGCTCTGAGATGAGTTCCCGCAGTTCCAGGATCTGCTGCTTCCTCTCCTCGTTCTCGTGGAGCCAGTAGGAGACTTCGTCCGTGCAACGGAACATGTCAGGGCACCTCTGCTGGTCCAGTTGCGGCAAGGTGGCTATGATCTTGCACCTGCCATTGGGCAGGACCTGGTTGCTGTATTCTCCACACTGGATGAGTCCAGGGCTCCCTTGGTGGCCGTCATCTCCGCTCATCCCTTCGCCATCAGCCGTCAGGGGTCTCTGCAGGGAGCGGCGGTTCAGGAAAGCCAGGAAGAGGAGTGTTTGTGCCACCAGCCTTTGGGGTCCTGAAGGCACCCCAAGCTTCATGGTGTCCAGGCCAGCTGGCAATGGAACAGCCACTCGTTCAGAGGGTGGCCAGCATGGAGAAGTCTCCTTGGTGCAAACCCCAAACTTTGCATTGGCGTGGAAAGGAAGTGATCCACCGCAAGGGAGAGCCTAAGGCTGAATGTGGACCTGCCATTGGGATTGCAAGGTTATAGGTGTGCGTCGATTCGAGAACCCAGGAAATGTGGTCCAGAGGATGGCAAGAGTGAATTCCACTCCTCTCCGTTATTTCGCCTTGGATGGAATAATGCCAGCTCAATCTAGGACCCAAGGTCTTCTCCAAACCTCCTTGAGGCTGTGTGCTTAGACACAGGGTTTCCTTGGATTAAATTGAGCAGATTGCCTGGAACTGGTGCATTTTTCATGGAGGATGACAGCTAGAAGGAGAGGCTTCCCGCCACCAAGATTTCAGCACCATGGACAAGTCCTCCAGCAAGTCGTTTGCCCCAAAAGGAGGACCCAATAGACAACTCACAGAGACTGCTGTTCATGCATCGATCACAAACAGCTGACTGTTTTAGGCATTTCCTAGGTCTCTTTCCTTCATTTGGAAAAAAAAGCAGAAAATGAAAAAGAAAAGCTTCTTAACATTTAGGGCAGTCTTTCTCAACTGGGTTTTTGGACAGCAAATCCCATCGGTCCCAGAACACATGGCCCATGAACACCCACATTGTAGGGAGTTGCGTTAGATAACTCTTCATGGTTCCTTCCAACTCTACAATTCTATGATTCTATGAAAATTCATATTTAAAATTCAAATTTCTAAGATATTTTACTTTAGAGCGAGCAAATTAGAGGGGAAACATTTTGCGTGGTTTCAAGTCACCCTTGCCAAATTGTCCTTAGTTTTGCAAAGGGTAGGAAGAGATACCAAAATTGCACTGTTAAAAATATTGACCATGGTCTCTCCATGAGCCACTTCTGAGATTGTTTCATGGCACTGCCTTCCTCTAAATTACTCCTCAAAACCCACCATTTGCTTATGTGTAAGAATGTTTATATACTGTCATGCCATTAAAAATATGTATCAATGAATTTATTGATATGTATAGACTGATTTCACAAAGTTAAGTTAAGCTAAGCAGATATATAAGATTGAATGTTTAATTATTAAGATACAAAATTACAATCTCAATAATAAAGTTACAAAATAATAACAAGGAAGTCACGCACGGGTGGAGGGAAGACAAAGGGCAAGAAATAAGAAATGGATAAAAGCTGGTACATAATGAAATGGGAAAATGTGAATTTATGAATATAATGTATATGTATCAATATGTAAAGATTTCATATATGTGTTGCAACATTAATAATAAATAAATTAAGTGCAAAAAATATATATATATCAATGAGATTTACAGCAATAAAACTATAAAACCATACAATAAAAGCTATTAAAAAGGCAGGCATCCATTCACCATTGTGTTCTTAATTGCTTGCCTAGGCCTGGAGGACCTTGGATCCTGGAACTTCATATGATTGTGGAATTCCCTCTGCCGGCAGGATAAGACCTTTTTGTTCAGGCTAAGGTGCAGATGATGCTGACCACTCCACTGCTAGATTTTGGGGTGAACTCAGCTGCCTCTAAATGCATTCTGGTGCACCATATTTACTCGAGTCTAATGCACCATCAAATCTAATCCACACCTTAATTTTTGCAATGTAATTTGGCCAAAAAAGGTTGAACATTAGATTCGAGTAAATACGGTGTTTTAACTGTTCTCAGCTTTTACTTTGCATTTTACAAACCTTTGTAAGGTAAAGGTAAAGGGACCCCTGACCATTAGGTCCAATTGTGGCTGACTCGCCGTTTACCTTCCCGCCGGAGCAGTACCTATTTATCTACTTGCACTGGTGTGCTTTCGAACTGCTAGGTTGGCAGGAGCAGGGACCAAGCAACGGGAGCTCACCCCGTTGCGGGGATTTGAACCGCCGACCTTCTGATCGGCAAGTCCTAGGCTCTGTGGTTTAACCCACAGCGCCACCCGCGTCCCTCCTTTGTAAGCTGCCTTAAATCCCAACTTGAGAGAAAGGCAGGATACCAACCCATTAAAACAACAAGCCTTCTCTCCCCACACATGGAAAAAAGTCAACGAAGTGGGGAGTTTTGGTGTGGTTTTTTTTAAAGGATTCTTTTGCAAATGTGACTTGAAAGGATAACCAAAACCAATCTGTAAATTTCAAATTTACTTTCCACAATTTCCCCCAGTCCTCAAATTGTATATTATGTCAGATTGTTCTCTTTTGAAAGAAAAATATATAAAAATGATGTATAGATGGTATATTACACCAGTACAGATAGCAAAAATGTACAAAACCGGGTCAAACACATGTTGGAAATGTAAAGAAAAGGATGGGACTTTTTATCATATGTGGTGGGAATATAGAGAAATTAAAAAATCTTTGGGAAATGATATATAATGAATTGAAAAAAATGTTTAAAATGGCATTTGTAAAAAAAACCAGAAGCATTTTGTTAGGGATTGTAGGACAAGACCTGCCAAGGAAAATGAAAAAAATATTTATGTATGCTACAACAGTGGCAAGAGTCTAGATAGCACAAGGCTGGAAGAATGAAGAAATCCCAACGAAAGAACAGTGGCAAGAGAAATTGATGAGCTACGCAGAGTTGGCTAAATTGACATACAAATTGCAGGACAAGGATAACTGTGACTTTAAGGAAGAATGGGAACTTTTTACAAAAAGACAACAAAATAAATTGGACTCTTTGCCACGTTTTGAATAAACATACACAAATTTATTGGTTGATAATATGGCGGATAGATAATGTAAGGATATGTATAATTTTACAACATGCAGAGAATAATATGTGCTGAGAAATCAGAGAGAGGAGCTGAGGGAAGTCGCTTGGGGGGAGGGTTTGAAGGGGGAAGGGGGAAAATAATGAATATGATATGTTTTGATAATTTGTTATGTTGAAATTGTTAATAAAAAACATTTTTAAAAAGAAAGAAAGAAAGAAAGAAAGAAAGAAAGAAAGAAAGGAAGGAAGGAAGGAAGGAAGGAAGGAAGGAAGGAAAACCAAAACCACATGCAATTAATCAGAGAATCGGAGAATGGTTGAGTTGGAAGGGACCCCAACGGTCATCTAGTCCAACCCCCTGCAATACAGGAATCATAGCTAAAGAATTCATGACAGACGACCACCCAACCTCTGCTTAAAAACCTCCAAGGAAGGAGAGTCTATAACCTCCCGAGGGAGTCTGTTCCACCGCCATTGAATGGCTCTCAGCACCAGAAAGATCTTCCTGATGTTTAGTCAGAATCTCCTTTCTTGTAACTGGATGAGTCCCAAGCTTCACCCTCACTTGACCCCATCAAGCTGTTTGTGTTGTTGCTCCCTCTCTGTATATGTGACTGTGATGCACACACACACATTGTTAGTATTCTCTTTTGTTGACTTGTGATGCTGAGCTGTCTTCTGGAGCCGGATGGGTCACGATAAAACACATTTCCTTAGAGGAAACGCCGTCGTTGCAAGCCTTCTGACCTTTTCACCACATCTCTGTGGATTCCCCACCTTCCCTGAGATGACAGATCGCCTGCGTCTTCCACAGCTAAGAAAACGCCGTCATCATTTAGGGACCCACCTTCAAATATCTCAAGGGCTGTTGCATGGAAGATGGAGAGAGCTTGCTTTCTGCTTCTCCAGATGGCAGCTCCCAAACCAATGGCTTCAAATTACAATAATAAGGACCTGTGTGAGTGTCTGGAGGCGATTGGAGGATGGATGGCGGCTAACGGATTGAGGTTGAATCCCGACAAGACTGAAGTACTATTCTTGGAGGACAGGGGGCAGGCTGGTGTGGGGGACTCCCTGATCCTGAATGGGGCAACTGTGCCCCTGAAGGACCAGGTGCGCAGCCTGGGAGTCATTTTGGACTCACAGCTGTCCATGGAGGTGCAGGTCAATTCTGTGTCCAGGGCAGCTGTTTACCAGCTCCATCTGGTACGCAGGCTGAGACCCTTCCTGCCCACAGACTGTCTTCCCAGAGTGGTGCATGCTCTGGTTATCTCCCGCTTGGACTACTGCAATGTGCCCTATGTGGGGCTGCCTTTGAAAAGCACCCAGAAACTACAACTAATCCAGAATGTGGCAGCTAGACTGGGGACTGGGAGCAGCCACCAAGACCATATAACACCGGTCTTGAAAGACCTACATTGGCTCCCAGTACGTTTCCAAGAACAATTCAAAGTGTTGGTGCGGACCTTTAAAGCCCTAAACGGCCTTGGTCCAGTATATCTGAAGGAGCATCTCCACCCCCATCGTTCTGCCCGGACACTGAGGTCCATTGTCGAGGGCCTTTTGGTGGTTCCCTCACTGCGAGAAGCCAAGTTACAGGGAACCAGGTTATTGTATTTTAGTGTTTTGTTGGAAGCCACCCAGAGTGGCTGGGGAAACTCAGTCAGATGGGCGTGGTATAAATAATAAATTATTATTATTATATTTTTATTTATACCCAAGCTTCTCGGTTCAGGAAACTAAGCTCAGGGCTGCTAACAACAAATTTAAAACACTTAATTGATGCTACAAAAAACAAACAAACAAACAAAAAACCAGCATAAAATACGGTATAAAGCATAAATAACAATAAAATCAAAAATCAAAAATCAATTTAGGGGGGAAATCCATCCAATAAACATTAGATGATCACCAGGACTAGCTGGTTAAATTAGTCCCACTTGGGCCAGCGAGGAGACCAACAAGATTCTGACTATACGTTAGGCAGAACTTTCTGGTGGTAAGTTCTGTTTGACGGTGGAACGGGCTCTCTCAGAAGGACTCTCCTTATTTGGAGGTTTTTCAACGGAGGGCGGGTGGCCATTTGTCAGGGATTCTTCAGCTCTGATCCCTGCATTGCAGGGGGGCTGGACTAGATGATGCCTGAGGTGCCCTTCCAACCCTCTGAAATCCTCCCTAAAAGCAAAACAACATCCTGGGATGCTGAGAGTCAGCTCGA